CTTCTCTCTCTCTCTCTCTCTCTCTCNCTTATCTACTCTACTTATCCCCCCCCCCCCCCCCCCCTTCCAGACCTCCAGACCTCTCCTTCCAAGATTTCTCTCCGACGATATTACAGATGATGATGATGATGTGTGTAAAGGAAGAAAGAATAAAATGACCCCACGCAGGTATTAAAACAAGTGTAGTAAGACAAAAAGGAAAGGAGTGACAGAAGGGGGAAAAAATGTGAGTGAGACAGGGGCCAGGATGAAAAGCCAAACACCAAATAACAATGCAACTACACCCCAGCCACACGACACGAACGCAATGGAAACCTAATAGCCGCCTTGGATGCCATCTCGCGCGTTACCATCTCCGACCTGAACCAATGGGTATATCCAACCAGTAACCCACGCTGTGAAAGAGCATGACCAAAAAGAGGAAAAGAAAATGAAAAAGAAATCAGACAAACGCCTTAGAATGCGACCAACCTCTTGCTGCCTCCCGGACTTTGAGACCCAAGGATCCCTCGGAGACTGAACTACAGCCCCCTAACCAAATTCACCCCTCCCACTCCTCCAAACTTCCTCAACTCCTCCGGCACCGCATCCACCACAATCGTGATCCTCTTGGCCCCCAACAACACGCCCGCAAAGAAGATACCGACAATCAGCAGCAGCGCCACCACCGTAACCGTCGCAATGGCCGTCAACTCGGCCCTCACGATCCTCGACACCCTCCTCCTTCCCACTCCATGTCCTCCTCCTCCATGCACTGATGAACCCACTGATGAACCACCAGTTTCCTTTGAACCGCCACCGCTGCTACTGCACTGTTGTGATGATGATGATGATGATGATGACGAGTGTGACTGTGAATGATGCTGCCACGCAAACTGCGTCATGTCCACGCGAGGCATATCGCTCGGACTAATCGTTTCCGTCTTGCGGAGCTTCAGCTGCTGTGCGCCGGCGGTGTAGCGGAGCTCGGTAAGCATGGACTGGTGGCTGGAAAAGTGGTAGTGGGATTCGTTGGTGGCGGCGCGCATGAGGGCCGGGTTGACGCACAGTTTGGCGAGGCGGTCGAGTTCTTCGGCTTGGCTTTGGGTTAATCGGTTTTGTTGTTGATGGTGGTGGTGGTGGTAGCTGCCGGCAGTAGTAGTAGTAGTGAAGGATGGTTGTTGTTGTTGTGAGCTAAGTGGTGAGGAGGAGCGACCGCAGGCAAGAGCCTCCTTGAGGGAATCGACGGTTGAGCCGGCGTCGAGTTTGCGGGGGACTTCGGCGAGGGGGCGGAAGCGGGCGGGAACGCCGATGGCGAGGTGGAGTGGTGGGACGGATTTGGTTACTACGGAACCAGCGCCAATGACGGCTCCGTCACCAATGGTTACGCCGCCTCTGTTTGGGGGAAAGGGGGCTGATGTTAGTAGGGGAAACCTTGGTAGGGCAGAAAAGGGGGTGGGTCCGATGCAGGGGAAAGTAAACAAAAGGAGATGAGAACAAGTCTCCACAGAAAAGGAAAAAAAATAATAAAGGGGGAAAAAGCAAAACGAGAATGACGAGGGAAAACTCACAAGATGGTAACGTTGGCTCCGATCCACACGCCATTGCCGATGGTGATGGGCTTTCCAATGCTGCTCCTCTGCGATTCCCGAGCCTCTGGGTGAATTGGGTGGCCGACGCTTACTAGCGTACAGTGAGGTCCAATATTGCAGTTCTCACCAATCGTAACGTCGGCTACGGGCGTGTCCATGATGAAGCAGCCCCGGTTAATGAAGGTCGAACCTCCTACCCGAAGCCGCAACCCGTAGTCGACGAAAAATGGGGGCTTGACAAAGGGAGTAAGAGCCTTGAGGGTTGGGTCGCGGAAAGTCATGTCATGGGTAATAGCACCATCTTCTTTCCTGTTCCGAGCCGGTCGGATGATGCTATCAAATGTGTTAGCACACTGTGATGATCAAGATCTGATGTTTGCATCTCATATCAGACTCACTCGAGAAAGAGGCTTGTTCGAACATCTGGTGTAGCATCTTCAGGCATGCTGTTGAAGCGTCTACAGGCGTGAGCGCACCGATCCCTGGCGGCGCGGAAGTCGTCGAGGCCGGCAGGGAAGGATACCCCTGCCGCGCCTAGAGGCTGTTTTTCGATATTATCCATTGTATGTGTGTGTGTGTGTGAAGTGAAGTGAAGCAGTAGGGCGGTTGACCGCTAAGAATGAAAGTTTGGTGTATGTATTCGGTTGGCGGCTGAAGGATGTAGTCGAGGGCAGTTAGTTGCGGCTTGGTTGTGTTATGTAGTTGGTGTGGCCGTTGTGCCGAGGGAAAAATGGGTCGGTGTTTGGTAAAATAGTTGTTAAAATGTGATTTTGCGGGTGCAAAATTATGCCAGACAAAAATCAAAATGGTTTCGAATGGATGGGGGAGAGCAGGCTTTGTCCCTGAAGTGAATCTACCGATTTGTAAAATGAGGATTGACGCCTTGCCACTCCTGGTGCAAATTCCAAACTTGCCCGGGCCACGAAGGGTTTGGCGAGATTTGGTACGAGAAGCCCGGACTTAGTTGGGACGGGCCTCTTCTTGATCGGTTCTGGGCGGCCCTGGATGGCTAGGCTGACCCCACGGATGGGTTCGATCACTTCCCCGGACAGGGGTAGACGGGTCTAAGATGACGGGACACCAAAAATTCCAGGGGGGGTGACAAAGCCCAAAAAATCAACAGTGTGGTTGTTTTTAGCCAAGCCTCGGAAGTCGGAACCAACTTTTTCTCGTGGCCGTGTGTCGTCAGGAAGTTGGAGTCGACGAGGGTAGGTGGGTTGCACAGGGGAGCTTAATACGGGGGTGGTGATGATGATGCTAGTGTAGTGTAGGACCTGAAAAGCACACGAGGAATTGATGGGGGAGCTCATAGTGGTATATGTAGGTATGTATAAGCTGGACCACCGCTGTGCTTTTCTCCAGCCATGACATTATTCCCTTTTTAGCGGACTGGTAAGTGTAACCAAACCACCACCAACACGGCAAACCCATGAACGTCTTAGCCCGAAGCGAAGCCACGAGTTGCAGCAACGAGTGCACAATACGAGGCCGCAAATAACGGGGTAGACATATGTAATGATACGTAAGCTCGGACGATAGCCTGCAGATAGCCGCTTCGCTGAGTAATGATGGCATATTGTTGGTATTAATGCTGAGGTTTGTGTCGCTGACGGTGTCATTAGGAAACGAAGGAGGCCGGTGTTGCTTGCATTGCGATCAGGAAATTCGCCCATGGACGAACTCCTTTCGGGGGACTCCGCATGGGGCCCAACCCTGTTGCCCCTGGCTGGTCTAGCGCTGTGTAGTGTAGCTGCCGTTTATCACCGACCACGACCCTACTATGTAGTGTAGTATGGTGTGCGCATACGTACATACACACTACTGCTTGCTTGTTTTGCTGCGTGTCATGGCAAATCCCATCCCATGTGGCCGTTTGCTTTGGTTTGGTGTGTGTCGCGAAGCTATGGAGCTGAAAAGGTAGATGGGTGGAAACCGGCATGGATCCAGCGTGAAAAGATCGCATATCGCCGACCGCGTTTCGCACATGTTCGGATGCTTCTGGAAGCCTGGAATTGGACCAAAAAGGAGGCATCTTGCCGCCGTGTGACCTCCGCGAAAAAGGTTCAACCTTGTTGTCGCCCCGGGCCACTTCCGCCCTTCCGGCACGCTTTGCTGCAGTTGTAGGTGTCACGTGCAGACGTGCAGAAGCGCATGGCAGCGGATCCATGTCCACCATTTTCCCCCCTGGCATTAGTCAGGGGTTCGGGAACCAGCCCCGTCCATGCCGTACCGTTCCATGCACGACGACACCACCGACGCATGCCTAATACGGCTGCCTTTTGTTCCCAAAGGGATAACTCCGGAGCTGAAAAAATGATGCATCGTGCATCCAAAAGTCCCTCAGCCGCCCAACACAACGTCTGGATCCCCCAGACCCCAGCGCCGCCAAGCAGCATTCGCGGCAGAAGCAGAGACTGCAACAGACGGCCCGGGGTTACAGTCTGTACGCCAGGGCGGGCACCTATGCCATTCACAGAGCAGCGGCGTCAGCTCGCTTTTCACCCAAAGAGACAGACGGACGCATCGGCAAGACAGAAAAGGACAAACGAGTGCAGGCGGCATGCACTGCGCCGTCAAGATTAGATCAACTGTTACCACCAAGCGTCCTGTTCGGGGTCGGGAGGACAAGGCAGATTGGACCGTCGCATCCTCTCCACTTTTGCCAAGGTGTGCGTTTGTGTGACGAAAAAAGAAGGCTCCGGTGCCATGCCGCTATAGTACATAGCTGGCTGGTTAGCAGAGTTTGTTTGTTGGAATTTTCATGATACAACATGATGAGGGTGTTACCCAGGCAGGTCGTTCAAAGAAAAGACTACACACGGGCTCTCCAAAAAAAAACGTGATCGTGTGTGTACTGTTCTTTTTTTTTTTTTTTTTTTTTTTTTGGATTCACCGGTCAGGGTAGGTAAGGTAGGTACTTAGCTAGCGGTCCCCCCCAGACCCTCCCCACGGGCCACAAAAGCTCGACCTAATGTAGGCGTGGAAAGGCTCCATCCGGTCGGGCCATCCGCCTGTTCCGGTTGCTCTGCAGGCGCCTCCAAGCCAGGATGATGTACATACGGCATCCATAGCGGAGGAGTTTCTCTAAGTGGTTTTCCAGATGTGGCTCCCTTGGCATTCCTGGATGCGGCGACTCCCACGATGTGTATACCTGAACCCCCACTCGACCGTCTGTGTCTTACCCTCGGCCGAGTTTGAACCATCAGCGACAAAAAGCAACCCCTTCGCGGTGCTCAATGCAGTAAATACCGTAAACCCATGCGATCTCGCACTCCCGCCCATCCCGCACCCCAAATCCATAGCCACGGTACGCTGACACGATTGGGATCAAGTTAGTAATTGGTAATCACCGCGCCTGGTTTCATCAATTCACATTCAACTTCCGGTCAACCCTGGCCTCCTCCTTGTCCGGCCTGTTGGCGGGGAGCTCACTCCTCTCCACTGGACGACCTTGGGCGTCGTCGCTGGCGTCATCGGAACGGGTATCGATCATGGCGTTTGCAATGTTGCACAGCGAGTGGCTCGAGTGGCTCCCGGCAGCGCTGTCACGCTCGCCTCGGCGACCTTGGCGAGTCTCTTGTGGGCGCGCTAGCGGGAGACCCATAGCAAACATTAAACCCATGCCCGTGCCCATGGCGATCCCCGTTTCAAAACTACGGCGGAAGTCTGGAGTCCAATTGGTGACAGACGGATCGCCGCTAGTGCTAGTTTCAGGACCAGTTGCCCTTTCTGTTTGGGGAGGTTGAGAAGCCCGAAAAGTCTGATTGCTTTGTTCCTGTGTCTGCTGACCCGATGGGTTCGGAGAGTCGTTAATAACGGCGCTGGGCGGCCTCGGATTCCTTGTAGTTTTGGAGCCTATGACGCATGTATAACAGTTAGCGAAGGAACGATATTTCTTTTTTCGGAACCAATTTCATTCAAGAGACCCCTGCCACTTTGCACATGCCACATGCCTTGGTAAGGGGAATGCTCGTGTGGTCCACCCCGAAACGTGCCGGCGACGACACTATGCCTTGCGGGTGGGGAGACCTCGAATTGAGGGTTCGTGGGTAGGTAGTTGTTGTACGTCAAAGTGGTCGACGGCATGTTTGTGTAGATTGGTGCTGGACGGCTGGTCCCGCTTCCGTGGGTTTGGACGGCGTGGCTGGTGGCAGCGCTCGGAAGCTGAACAGGCGCTACAGGGTTCCGTCCAGGGCAGCGCCAGACGTGGCAGGTGTATTGGTCCTTGTGAGTCGGGTAACAGGCGGTTGAGCAGAGTTGGGAGCCGCAGTAGATGCAGGCCAAGACCTGAGCGACCGGCATGGTGGGCATCATTTTGGTAGTTTTCTTTTTTTTTCCCGGATGCCGGGACCGCGGATACAGTCCCTGTGCATATGAACCCGTGGGATGATTGTAGAGTGTATTTGATGTTTCGGTACGTTGGCAGATGTCGGGTGCTTCAGCGGGGGGGCGCGCTGTAGGCGGCACTGAACCGTCAACAGTAGGCGCTAAAAGGCGGGGAGGCGCGGGAAGCCGATGAGACCTTTCGATCCGCCGAGATGTGTACCAGCAACCATGAAGGCGCAATGGATTCCTTACCATACACTGTTTCCGATGCGTCCTCGGTCAGCGGTATTCTCTATTATCAGGCGACAAGTGGAGTAGGAAGTACAAGTGACGTTTCCAGGCGTCAAACTTCACCGCGACTCTGCACGAAAGGCCTAGAATGTCAGGGTTGACCTAGCAAACGGCGGCAAAGATGCAAAAACCTGAAGCAGGCAGGTACGGGGTATGCAGGTATCGTCGTCCGCGCTTGTGGTGTCGCTTGTCGAGGCTTGTCTCGCTTAAGGTCCAAAGTTGGCAACCTCATCAATTGGCAATTTGACTCTGTCGCGGCCTATTCGCCGGTCTTGTCAATTGGCGCAAGACGAAGGATCTGGATCTCTATCTTTCTTCAGCGGAGCATGTAGAATACTGCTGCTGCAGATTCGGGCGCGGGTATGATCTGCAATCCTTGTTTTCCGGGGTCGAGTTGAAGGTTGGAAAAACACAAGGTTTAGGTTGTGATGACGGCAACTTCCATGATCCAACATGACTTCTGGCAGCCGGCAGCCAGTTTCCTTGCCTGGTGTAAAATAGGTAGGTAGGTATTAACCGGGACCGTTTGCCACCTACAGTTCCTTCCATTACAGGCTGCAGAGTCGGGCCAGATGGAAGGCGCATTCCGGAACGCACAGTCACTCGTTGAGACAGCAAACAGGACTTATTTTAGATGACAACAGGAAGGAACGTTGGATTAGACGATGGCATTCACCGCCCTTTTCCCTGAATGCTGCGTTTGCCCTTGCCTTTTCAATGCCTGTCTGCAACATGCGATCATGCATGGATTCCTTCTACCCACTACCTCGCGCAACAATTACCTATCTTTCCCCCGACTTTCACCCCCTATACCAATTTCGTGATCTTTTGGGGTCCCTCAAGCCGGCATTCACTGTTGTTGAAGCTCGAGTAATGAATCTGTCTCAGGCCCTGGTCCAGAAAAGATTCCCTCGACTCCGGATTGGAACATCCCAGTTCTGTCCT